AAATTTAGGCTTAATCTTCTCAGTAAGGTATTCATCTGATTACTATGCCTCTTGCTAAAAATGATTAGGAACTCAATTTTTTCCAAGTAAATTTGTCAAATTTAATTTTTGTGATAAGGGATTAAGGCTAACTGCAAGGCCCTTCTGGTCTCAAAGTAAACACATAAATGAAAACATATATTCAAATGTAAAATATATTTAGATCTTTTTAATGAACTTCTTTCTCATTGCAATTTATATATTTTTTCCCATTCTAAAAGAGTGGTTTCTCGACCAAAGGCAACTGTGGCCCCCTGGACATATTTAAGAATTTTAACAACATCTGGAAACGTTTTTGATTATCACTGGGCGTGGGCAGTGGGTGATGATAAGGTGCTGTTGGCATCTGGGGGGCAGGGGCCAGGGATTCTGGTAAACATCCTGTAACACACAGGGCAGCACTGTACACAAAGAATCATCCCATCCAAAATGTCAATAATGCTAAGATAAATCCTGTAGAACCATCTAATCCTTCTAGATTCCACTCATTTCTCAAAAAAGTCTAGCGAATAGGTCTATCACAGGCACTTAAGCTAGTTACCAGAAATACAAAAAAAATTCCTGGCTATGTGATCTTGGGCAACTTGTTTTGCCTTTCAAAGCCTCAGTTTTTATCAGCTGTAAAATGGTGGCATTACTTCATATATATATAACTGTTGTTAAATGAAATAATAAACATGAAGCACTTAACAGAACCTAGCACACAACAAAAGGTAGTTATAGTCACCATTTCTCACATCTGACTCTTATATATGCTCTCTTCTCTCTTGGAATAACCTTATATTTGTTTATTAAAGTTAATACCGTATATGGACAACCATAAAAAAATCCAAAATTCTATATTTATAAAACATACATGAATAGTCTTCATTAGATTGTATTTACTATTTTTCCATACCATTTCCTATCTACCCTCCCCCAGTAACTAACAGAACTGATACAATCAATCAATCCATAATAGTTTATCTTAGCTAAAATCTCATTATTTCAACCATCAAAAATCTAAAACCCAAAGAGAGGTGAGGTTTACAATCAACATTTATTGAAAACCATTTATCTAAAATTCAAAATGCAATTTAAGAGATAAATGCTGACATTCAATTTAATACCAAAACTGTTAAAAGTCTGTCTAAAAATATGTGTTTTCAAGAACTTTTTAAAAATTGAAAATAATATTCATAATACAAATTGCAGGTTACAGAAGCACCCTAATGGTGTAAGTAGCAGCATACTATCAATTTATTTGTACTACAATAAAAGCAATGATGGCCAGGCAGGGTCGTTCACACCTATAATCCTAGCACTTCGGGAGGCCTAAGTGGGAGGGGATCGCTTCAATCCAGGAGTTCCAGACCAGCCTGGTCAACAGCGAGACCCCATCTCAACAAAAAGTGAAAAAATTAGCCAGGAGTGATGGTACACACCCGTAGTCCCAGCCTCTCGGGAGGCTGAAGCAGGAGGATTGCTTGAGCCCAGGAGTTGGGAGGCTGCAGTGAGCTATGATGACACCACCGTACTGTAGCGGGGGTAATGAGACCCAATCTCCAAAAGGGGAAAAAAAAAAAAAAAAAACACACCCACAAAGTAATGGTAAAATCATTAAACATATTTGAGAACAAAATTAAATCATTTCAGGTATCTCCTGAAATAAAATGTGATTCCTAAATTCCATAAATTTAAATCATTTATCACTAGTTGAGAAATATTCCAGATAGAGTGATTCAAGTGATATTTTTGTATGAGGAATTGTTTAGAAAATGAAGACTAAAAATGAAGTTTAGAGAAACGGAGCTCAAAAAACAAAACAAAACAAAACCTACACCAACCAAAAACATTGTGCAAAAATTCTCACATCTTAAATATGAGTTCTGGGTTGTTTTTAAAAATACTATACATGTGAAACAAAAACAAAAATAGGAAATGAATTCTAGGTGTTTTATAAGTAATCCATGACCAGTAAGACTTCTGAGCTTACATTCAGTTAAAGGTTAGTGCCAAACATCTTTCCCAAACACCAAATTGTCTTTCTTAAATTATAAGACATTTTTATTTTTTTCGTTAAGAAATGAAAAAGTTGAGGAATGTCACTTTAATTGTCACTTAGTAACCCAAAATATTAATCATAACCATAGTTTAAAACTTAGGGGGTTAAAGGAAGAAGGGTGGTGGTGGGAGTGAGGGAGAAAAATAACAGGCAAATCCCTACCTGAACCAACTGGAGATGAGCCAACACTAAGACTTTGTAAACTTCCATTCCTGAGCAATGTAGGAGATTTCTGAAGACTAGAGCTTGTTACGCTTCCTGCAGCTGATGCTACAGATGATGTTGGTGAAGCAGAAGAAACTGAGAGATGAGAAACATTCTCTTGACTTTTGTTTCCTTTGGGTCTACCAGGCCCATGCTTACTTTGTTTATTTCCTTTCCTTTTCTTTTCCTTTACAGTTTCTTCTTCTATGCCAGAAGTTTGAGCCCGCTTATATCCTGCTGCAGGAAGGCTGGAATTACCCAAATCTCCAGGTGAATTTTCAAAGCTTTTAGGCTGTGAAATAACAGCTGAGGTCGAAGGGAGACCAATTAAGGAACTAAAACTATTTACCCCCCCTTCCTGGCTTCCAGACTCTCCTTTATGTACATCTTTGGTTGATGATGACTGTTGGGAGTGAGTATAACTGTCATTACGCAGATCTGAGTCTGTAAAGCTCAAGAAATCCTGGGGAGACTGCACTGAACTTCCAGAAGATGATTTTACACTGCCTGGAGTTCCTGAAAAACTGCCTGTAGTAAAAAAAAAAAAGGGGGGGGTAGGAAAAGAAAAAAGTGGATGCAAGAGTTCCCATAAGCAGTAGAAGTGATACAATCATCAACGAGAAGAGAGGGAAAAAAAAATTAACTACAAAACTTAGGACATCACTATATAACAAAGCTACATTTGAAAAGGGTTATTGCTGAAATCAAGTTTACCTCTAAAATTATCTTTAAAAACACTTGTCATTTTACAGGTAGTATCAAACATTTACTCTTGAATTGCAAGCTATTACTTACACAATCACTAAGATATAAGAGGTGCTTTTATTAACCTACCTTTTACCATAGCAGCATTCCTCAGTTCTGCCCCAAACACCTCCTGTATGCTTGAGGCAGAACTAAAGAACAGCAACCTCCTTTTGACAGTCTCTGAAGGAGACCTAACAAGACTACAATTCAACTCTGAATGTCTGGGGAACTACTTCTTTTTTAAATATTAAAAATGTGATTATAAATGTTCCCAATAAACAGGAAAAACGAAAAGATGTTTTTCTTAGGTTCTGAGTTCTAAGTTTTAACTTTAAGACATATCAGTGATTGTTATTATTCAGCTGAATCCACCCCCAACAAAACACAGATTTATTTGATCAAAGAATGACCAGATAGAATCTAATCTGTACCTTACATTCTCCCAGTCCACTTTCCATGGAGCTGCTAAAGAAAAGAAACTCACCACAATGGCTATTCTCGCCCTGCTCTTTAAAGAACATTGGTAGCCCACCTTATCCTAATGAGATATAAGAACCTCAAAGTTCTTAGTTGCCTTGTAGAAAATTAATATGGCCTGGGATGAACACACAGTTTGGCCCATATCCCATTTAGTCAAACCTCTTCACATGTGCCAAGTGAAGTAGCGAGTCTTTAGACTCACTTGTGACCACACGTCTATTACGTCTCATAAAACTAAACTACATCATATTTTAACTTAAGTTTCTGGAAACAAAAACTCAAAATATATCGTTTTACTGGAGTGGAAAGGAAATTTCAGGCTAAGCATTAAATTTTATTGCATATTCACAAGTAACTACACATAAATCCACCTAGATATTACAAAGACTTTTTTCCTCACACACAAAATTTTCTTTTTAACTAAAGTCTCAAGGTTTTGATTTTTAAATTTTAACCTCTTCTGAAACAGCTTATTAAAAAAAACACATCAATAGTTCTAAAACTTAAGTCTTTCAAGAGTGCCTCTGTTTATTAATTTTACAAAACTATTTCTATCTATGTAGGCATTTTCGGGCTATGTCTAGTCAGAAAAACATACATATTAAGAAGTCTTTTACATTATATCATTTAAAGATAACTACAATTTGCCACATAATTAGCAGCTATTAGAAGTTCTTTATTATCCATTCTGATCTGTCACCATCTGCTTTCTCTTACACTTTTTTGTTTTTACAGCTGATATTAAAAGCTCACTACAGCAAGCAAATTCTTTTAAATATTCAATATATGCAATACTTTAAATGTAAATTTTCTAAAATTCACATACTTCTTGCTATGAAAAAATACAACCAATTATCTTAAATATCCTATTTTTAAATTTCAACTTTTAAAACTTTTATAGATTACCTCAAATATGAAAACATAACACATTCTCTAACATGTATTAATGGAGGATAAAAAAGAGTCTTCAACGGTATGAAGTTCAAGAAAATGGGGTAATTTTCTTTCTAAATTGATTAGTAATTCACCAATAGATTAAAAACTCAAAAATGTAATTTTAATAGTGAAAAGTAAGGTCTTATGTATAGAACCATTAACTGAATTCTGATACCACATTCAAAATGTGAATGAGGTTACATTAAAAGTTAATTAAGGTTTTACTATTTACTTTGTTTTCCAAAGTAGTGTAACAACAAATATAAATTTCAGTAAAGTAAAGCAGTAAAACTGGCATTTTAACCTTTTCTACTTGTCTAAGCTTTTGATATATGAGGCGCACGCACGCGCACGCACACGCACACGCGCACGCGCACACACACACACACACACACACACACACACACACACCCCAACACCTGGGACTTGAAAATCTTCAAGCCCAAAATAACTACTCATATAAAATATATAAATATACTTTTTAATGAGAGGTCAGCAGACTAAGCAATCTCTCTACATATTCAAATTTTATCTTGCTAAATTTTGGATATAAATCTTATTATTAGCAGAAGCTTGAAAAGGGGTAAAGGAGAATTTTCTTTTCTCATTTACTCATAGAGTTAAGAGTGGGGAGAGGGGGCATTTATTATATATTTTACTAATGTATTTTCCTCCAAGAGCTTTAACATTTCTATTTCTCAAAATATTTATGTTCATGTTAAAAATTACACGAAGTACAAACCTAGAATACAAGGTTAATGTAGTCTAAAGCTTAGCTGAGTTATTCTGTTCTCCATAAAATAGGGTTGCCATATAAAACATGGCATGCCCAATTAATTCTGAATTTCAGTTAAATTATTTTTCAGTATATCTCACATAATATATGAGACATACTTATACCAAAATATTATTCATTGTTTATCTGAAACTCAAATTTAACTGGGCATCATATAAATATAGCAGCCAAAATTTTACTTTAAACTTCAAGCTTTATAATAAATGCATTATTAATCAACAACTATTATTAATTAAGACCTATTTAGATGCCCTAAAAATTGCTCAGACTGTTACCTACTAAAAATGTAAACCTTAACTGTTTTTTTTTTGTTTTTTTTTTTTTCCTGAGACAGAGTCTGGCTCTGTTGCCCGGGCTAGAGTGCCGTGGCTTCAGCCTAGCTCACAGCAACCTCAAACTCCTGGGCTCAAGCGATCCTCCTGCCTCAGCCTCCTGAATAGCTGGGACTACAGGCATGTGCCACCATGCCCAGCTAATTTTTTCTATATATTTTTAGTTGTCCAGATAATTTCTTTCTATTTTTTAGTAGAGACGGGGTCTCGCTCTTGCTCAGGCTGGTCTCGAACTCCTGACCTTGAGCGATCCACCTGCCTCGGCCTCCCAGAGTGCTAGGACTACAGGCGTGAGCCACCGCGCCCGGCCCTTAACTGTTTTTAATGTTTAACTAGGAAAAGTAAATTTAAAAAATTTATAAAAAAGAATGACTATTCTATAGAATGGAAAGAAAAACTCCAGCTTTTATTGTTTTTCTCCCCAATCTTAAGCTTTATTCCATATCTATTTAAAAAATTAACATTTCAACTTTGGAAGCACAAATCATAACATAAAGAGAAAGCAAAAGTCCCAGAAACTAGGAAACACTAGTCTTTGAAGTAATCTTACTACAGCAATTAATCATATAACAATCTAGAACAATCTATTACTTATAAGTAAAAAATAAATTCTTTTACAAAGCGTAACTACTACTGGCCACAAGAACAAGAATTTTAACTAAAACATCATAATTGATACCTTGTGGAAAGGGGCTAGCTGCTGACACGGTCGTTCCTGGATTTCTTCCACCACCAGGCTTTCTTCCCCTTTGACCTGAGCTGTGAGCTGAAGATTTCTTCCCTTTGCCCTCTGACCCTCTAGTCTCTGAAACATCTTTTCCACTAGAGGTGTGTGCAGAGACTTCTTGGAAATTTGCATTTGTAAATCGTGCTGTAGTATCTTCCAAACGCTTCAATGATCCAGATATAGAGTTGTTGCTAGTGCTTGTATAAGTCTAACATTTTGATTCAAAAAAGGAAGTAAAAGGAAAAAGAACTGATTACATTTTGGCTACAGAAAACATGACAGTAATAATAATAAATTATTGGATTTATTTAGTTTGAGCTCTAAAAATATTAGTCAACCTGAGAAAATCATGTAAAAACAAAGTCTATTATAACTACTTTTCTTAAAAAAAAAAAAAAAAGTATCGATAGTTTATAGCAGCAGTCCCCAAACTATTTGGCACCAGGGACCAGTTTCGTGGAAGACAATTTTTCCATGGACAGGGGGCGGGAGGGAATGGTTTCAGGATGACTCAAGCATATTACATTTATTGTGCAGTCAAATCTCTGCTAATGATAATCTGTATTTGCAGCCGCTCCCCGGCGCTAGCATCACCACCTCAGCTCCACCTCAGATCATCAGGCATTAGATTTTCAGAGGGAACGTGCAACCTAGATCCCTCAAGTGCGCAGTTTACAGTAGGGTTTGCACTCCTATGAGAATCTAGTGCAGCTGCTGATGTGACACGATCTGACATGAAGCAGAGCTCATGCGATGATGTAAGTGATGGGGAGTGGCTGTGAATACAGATGAAGCTTCGCTGGCTGGCCTCCTGCTGTGCTTCGTGCTGTGCAGGGCAGGCTTCCTAACAGGCCATGGTAAAGGTCTGCAGCCCAGGGCTTGGGGACCCCAGCTTTATAGGATGGCTATTTTGTGATCGAATCACAGCAATTAGTAAAAGTATGTATTAGTCATATTTAGTAAGTGACACACAGTAATACTGAAGGTACTTATTTCTCCAGCAACATCATTTTCACCAAGAACATACTATGTCCTACACATGAAATCAAAATAAGCTTTTGTGTTCAACACAGGAAGGCAATTATAGAGAAGGATGGTGCTACAAATCCATTACAGAGGACTGACTATTCAGGAGATTGTAAGACTTTAGCATAGGACAGAGCAAGAACTTTTAAAGAATTCAAGTGAAGGCTCCTTTTCAAAAAACAAAGATTAAAGCCTTTGAAAAAGAAAGCATTTTTTTCCAAGTATTACATGGAGGCAAAAGTTATATATTGCAAAGTTAAGACTTTTATTACTATCCCTAAAATTGATTCTCAATCACTCCGTTCGCTGATCTAGATTATGTCAGGAAAAAGAACAAAATAAAGATTTGTTTAAACAATTATTTTCTGGCTTTTAGTAATCATTTTTTATACAAGTTATACCCAAATAATGGTAAATTAAATGACTATAAAAGTCTATTATACTAGATGTACATTATTAAAGGTTATAAGGTCCAGAGGGGCAGAGATTTTTGATGTTGCTGTTAAATTCACTAAAGTATCTCAGGCACCTAGAGCATAAAGTTAAGTACCTGGAACATAACTGGCACTACATTTTTGTTGAATAAATAAGTGAATAATTTTGTAATGCATCTATCTAAAATCTCTGATGTAAAAATGAAAAAAAATCTGAAAATATGCAAAAGTGAAATTTTCCACATATAGCCACCACTCAATACAATCAGATAAATTTGAAAAATGAGAAAGTGACAATAAAATCAAGTTTCAAAATGGCTGGTGGTTTTAGCAAAACCAATGTTCAAAAGGGAGTAAGAGAAGACGTCAAAATGTTTTGAAAACCAAACACTACTTTTCTGCTACTTGTCCCCAGATGCCACCCCCAGCCCTGTCATCTCACTGCCAACAACAGATTTTCATCAAATACAAGAAACATTATTTCATAAAAACAAAATAATCACTATTCTAACAAACTACAATCCACAAACAAGAACGAAAGTTTCAAAGTAAGTTTAAAAGAAAAAAAAAACCCATTTAACAAACCAATCACATTTAAGCTGATGAAACTTCATGGCTTACTTTAGAAACATGAACCTTTTCCATGCTGGGCAGGTCAATTTGGAAACTACCCCACCTCATTTCTCAAATATTTTTTTCCAATTACTTGAGTTGATCCTGAGGTTCTCCATTCCTCTCACATCTGATCCTTGTATGACCTAGTGAAGTTTAAAAGTCATCTAAGAAAACACAGTGGTGTTCTTCACTCATGTACTTTGTTCATGTATCAAATAAAGGATGGAGAGAAAACTGGGTGGAGAGCTACAAATGGAAATACGCTATTTGCTTTCACATGACAATCTAAATTAGGGATGGTCAATTTTCCCATTTACTTAATGGAATGTCCTTGCTTACCCCTCCAAAGTATAAAGCTGCCTATAAAACCAATGAAAACATGACATTTGGAAGAAACAGTATTACAAAGCAAGCAATGAATGAAACAATCAAATTTCATTGACAAAAATCATACTAATAAAACCATAATTGAATATTTTTAAAATTTCCACACTGATATTTAAAAAGATATCAGATTTCTCAATACAAAAAAATAAATTTTAGCTGAAGATAACAGTTTTAAAAAATTATATATAATGGCCACCCTCAAAAGGCTATATGGGTTCATTCAAAGAGAGATGGATCTCTACCTTAACACTGAGTTCGAAAGTGAATTTAAAAGTACTTGCTCTGGGGAGGGGATTTGTTCCATAATGTGCTGTTTAGACAATATGGCACTGGACAGTTCCATTATAAACATGCTATCACTCAAAACCAAGGAGGGGAGGGAGGAAAAGGGAGAGCAGAGCAGTTGGCAGAAGGCTGAGAAGAGGCACATGAGTAAGCCAAGCACTAAATTCACAAAATCCGCTGTTCCCTCAATCAGTTTTACATCCTGAATGTCTCTCACAGTATAAGCATCTCACTGCTCTGAGTGTAACTTTAGTGTTTAAAAATACTTATTTTTCATGCAAATTAGACCATAAAATGCAAACTACTTCATTTACTACTTAACTGAAGAATATATGGTCTTTTTGTTCTTTTCCACTAGAGATAAAACTGGCTATTTGGCTGTATTGAAAGTCTCCAAAGTAGTACATAAATACTTTGCTCTATATTGTGATTTACAGGCAATTTTTCAAAAAGGTAATTTAGAATATATGTGATTTTTGTTTCCTAGCTAACTACAACCATTAATCTTCAGATAAGCTACAACACCAACATACCTAGTCAACAGCATTAATTGGGAACAAAAATCTTTCTACTTAAAACAAAAATTTTAAACTAGATTTAGAATTAAATAATGACTCTATAATAAGTAACCCAAAAAAAAGCAGTTATAATTTTTTTTGAAAAGGTATGGTTGCCTCAGATTACTCTACAAGGTTCTTATATCAACATTGGTAAGGAGGCAGAAAGAAGAGGAACACCCAGGAACTATGCCTTCAATCACAAGTAAACATAGCATGTTTGCTAAAATTTTAAAATATAAGTATGTACTATTCAAGTGTCTCATAAAAGCCACAAATTTTGCACAAGGCCAATCCTGGACTACAGCATAGAAAATACCCAACATGAATCACAGAAAGAATGAAGATCAAACAAAAAGATCAGTGAGCTGTAGAACAACTTTAAGCAGCCTAAGTTACATGTAATTAGAATACCTAAAGGCAAATAGGAGGACAAAAAACAAATTATAAAATTGAAGAAATATTAGGAAAAATTGCAAAACTGATGAAAGCAATAAACCTACAGATCTAAGCAGCTCAAGTAACCCCAAGCACAAGAACTATCAAGAAAACTATGTGAACACAGTTATTATCAAACTGCTTATCACTAAAAAATCAACGATACAGAGAAAACATTAAAAGAAACCAGATTTTTTTTAAAAGGATGTCTTATATGCTAAAAAAGAGAAAGATAAGGATGAAAACAAATTTTTCCCTGGAAACAATGAAATCTAGAAAACAGAAGAGTACTACTAAAAGGAACAAAACTGTCAATCTGGAATTCCACAGCCAGTTAAAATATCTTTCCAAAACAAATGCGAAATACTTTTTTGGATATAAAAGCTAAAAGAATAACCTGTAGACCAACACTACATTTACAGATGCTAAAAGATGTCTTTTAGGCAGAAGGAAAACAAATGAAATGTAGATCTACAAACAGGGATGAAGAGCACTAGAGCGTTAATTACTAGTGGTAAATATAGTAATTCCCCTCTTAACCACAAAGGGTAAGTTCCAAGACTCCCAGTGGATGCCTGAAACCACAGATAGTAATGGATCCTGTATATACTATGTTTTTCCTATACAGTAAGGGGCAGGTAGTGTATGTGGTGTGGATACACTGGACAAAGGGATGATTTGCATCCAGCGAGGGAAGCAGGAGGATAGTGCAAGATTCCATCATACCACTCAGGTGTGCAATTTAAAACTTACAAATTGTTTATTTCTGGGATTTTTCATTTAATATTCTCAGACCTTAGTTGACTATAGGTAACTGAAACCACAGAAAGGTTAAACCTCAGATAACAGGGACACTACTGTATAAATACAGTAAAACGGTATGTAAGACAGAATTTTTCGTTGTTGATAGTTGATGATTTAGAGCAAAAGTAATCACAGTGAATCGTGATGTTTAGAACATATACTTTTTTAAAGTGACAAAAATAGCACCAAAAAACCAAAAGGGTAGCAATGGACATATATAGCTGTATAAAGTTCTTATAGTATACGTGAGGTGGTATAATACTAAAACGCGAACACCGCAACAATGAATTAATAAACTCAAGACCCAACTATATGCTGCCTTAAAGAAATCAAGTACGGGAAAAGAAATATCAAGCTAAAATGAATCAAAAGAAAGCTGACTTCACTATATTAATATCAGACAGTAGATTTCAAAACAAAGACTATTAATGGAGTAAAGTGGTTTGTTCATCAAAAAGAAACAAAAATCCTAAATGTTTTTGTACCTAATAAGAGACCTTCAAAATAAATGAAACAAAAACTGATAGAATGAGGTAGAGAGAGAGACACGCACCCCCCTCACAGTAACTGACTGAACGAACAGACAATAAATAAGGACACAGAAAACTTAATATAAACAGACTGACCTGACATTTACAGAGAAACTCCACACAACCACAAAT